GTTTCAACATCATCTTATTGGCATGTTAGGTGAGTGAGGGACATGGTAACAGCCTCAGTACTTCAGGATTCCATTCCAAGAATTGTATAAAATTTCCTCACTGCTGTTTTCCAGGTGCTGGAGCTTTCCCCTCACTCCCAACCCCTAAAAATCCCTGGAAATTGATCAGTATTTATAGTGGTTTTTTAATCTCTTGCTTTGCATCCTGTTACATGGGATGTTAGGGCTATGAAAGTTTACAACACACAGGAATATGCATGAAGCACCTCTTTTCAACTTATTCAAGCAACCACATCTTTTTCCCCAGCTCCTGTGGCTGCTTTAGAATCTGCTTTTGGCTGTGCACAACCATTTTGCTTTGCTGGAAAAAATACACCTGAGTTGTATCTATGCAAAGCTTCTCTTTTTATGAATGAAAAAGTAAATAATCACACTATTTTCCCTTCAGTCAGCTGCAGTCTCACCAGTGCTTTGTCTGATAGAAAACTCTAAATTCTTTTATCATGGCACTGGTGATCTAACTGATTTTTTTGCATGTGGAGAAGCCCATCTATCTGTTATTATATGCAGGTATTAAGGAACAAAAAATAAGTCGCAAAAATATGGATCTGAAAAAGTTAGTCAGAACCTTTTTTTTTTTTCTTAACTTTTATGAACATTTGTTTCCTTTATTCTGTGCAACTGGATGGAGCTAGGCATTTTTACTGACCAGATACCCTTCCTGATGCCTACATGGTGTTCACAGCAGATAGTTTTCTCTTTGTGCCCTGATATGGAAACATTTGCCACTGCCTAGGATTGAACTCTCAACCTTCCGAGTGGGAGGCGAGTGTCTTCACCTCTAGGCAATCACACCACTCTTAGTCAGAACTTATAAAACACTTGGAAAACCTTGTTCACTGTAACAGTTTACTGCATTCCCACTTCTGAAACCAGTATATCAGTTGGAATAAAACTACCGTTAACATTTGGACTTGTCTAGATTCTGAATTGCAATGCTTCAAACTGAAGAAGGTACCCAAACCCTTAATCTTAGGGCTAGATCCTGAGTATTATTCCTGGGCTTCGCTCTGGAATGAACAAATTGCCTTTATTCAGAACTTCCTTGCTCAACAGTCATCTGGCATTTTTCAAATGTTGGAATTGATTGAAGTGAGTCTCAGTAAATCAAAACTATGCCATACATGCTAAATTTCATTTACTGCTTAATACCTTTGCTTTTTTTTCTTTGCTTTTCAGTAGCTGTCTTCAGGGCTGCTTTCTCTCAGAGGACTCTGCCCAGCCTGTAAGACCTAGTGGGGAAGGCACTCTTTCAAATTCATTTCTAAAGCAGCATTAACACCATGGACCATATGGAATGTGTTGTCCTTTGTGGTTCCTTTCTTTAGGATTAGTGCTCCATCAGAGATTGCATTGGCAACGCCCTTGCTGTCATTTAGGAAGGTCTCAAAGAGTGGGCTATTTCAGAACAGTTTAAGGATATTTATTTTACTTTAAATTTACATTTTGGGGGCTGACCACATACCAGTCACTGTGGGCAGCATACTAGGATTAAAAACTGCCATGGTGCCTTCCCAGCCAATCTGAACTGAGGAGCTGGTGTGGTTCAGGTTGGTGTGGTTGTCTCCTATCAGAACCTAAGAAATGTGCCTCTTTGGTCACTCTGCCTGGTTTCTGCAATGAGATCTGGATGGTTCCCATCCTGTTGGCATTTTGAAGGGCCATAAACATCTGCCATTCTCCCAGGCTTTGGGCTACAGTTGCTAGTGGCCCCATTGCTGGGTTTTAGATGTTGGTGGAATGGTTTGAGGTTTACTGGGTTCACCAACTTCTTCCTTCCTTCCTTCCTTCCTTCCTTCCTTCCTTCCTTCCTTCCTTCCTTCCTTCCTTCCATGGCTCACATTACACAAGAGAATATAATAAGAAAAAACAAACAAGCAAACAAAACAGGAGGGAAGGAAGGTTTAAATCCACAAATGAACTCATATAAAGGGCTGATAATGTCAATCAGTAGTGGCTCCCCACCCCTAAAATATACACTTTTTATTATGGGACGAGATATTCCTTGGTATGATGGAGTAAGCCTTGTTATTTGTTTTTCTATTATAGCATTGTCGTGTTTTAATTTTATATCATGTTTTCATTGCATTGGAATATATATGTGTTGTTTACAGCTGTCTGCAATTGAAGCAGTTTAGAAGCCAAAATAAATACATAGCATCTATAATTTTATTCAATCTCTGAAATGATCTTATACCTCAAGCCACACCTTGATTGTTTCCAATTCAGTTTTATTTATTTAATCTCTTTCACTTTATTACACTTTAGATTATTTGGACCAAAAGTCCCATCACTCCAATCTTTTATAGGTTAACCTATAGGGCTCCGTGCTGGCCCCATCTCTATTTAACTTATATATTTCCCATATATCACACACTCTATCAACAAAGTTCTCTTATGTTGATGACCTGGCATTAGCATATAGCCACAAAGACATCGAAGCTACAGAAGGTGTACTTACAGCCGACCTTACAACTTTGAGCACATACTTCCACCAATGGAGGTTAATCCCAAACGTAAGCAAAACAGTTACATCATGTTTTCACCTTAACAATAAATTGGCAAAAAGAGAACTCAATGTATACCTAAACAACAAACTGCTCCCATATGACGCAACACAAAATACCTGGGGGTCACCTTAGACAGGACTCTGTCTTTTAAAAAACATATTCAGAATATGGCTGCCAAGGTTAACAGCAGAAATAACATTCTACAAAAACTATGTGGAACAACTTGGGGAGCTTTAGCCACAACACTTCGATGAGCAGCCCTCGGGCTTTGCTACTCTGCAGCGGAATACTGCGCATCTGTATGGATAAACAGCTCACATACAGGACTTATTGATGTTCAACTTAACCATACGATGAGGCTAATTACTGGGTGCATAAAATCTACACCTAGTTACTGGTTACCAGTTCTTAGTCACATACTTCCCCTGCACTTACAACGACAAGAAGCTCTCATTCGGGAGTATAGTAAGATCCTGTTAAATTCCTCTCTACCCATTCATGGCTACATTCCTGATATCTCAAGATGCCGATTCAAGTCAAGAAACCCACCACTCTTGACAGCACTTAAGTTGCTGGCCGATCATCAGAACACCACACAACAGTGGATGGAAGCGTGGAGTAGCTATTCCCCCCAAGATATTTCTGAGCATATTAATCCTAATAGCATACCTCCAGGATTTAATCTACCCTGACATATATGGGTGACATACAATAGAATTAGAACGACTCATGGGGGGTGTGCCAACTCCTTGTATAAATGGGGAAAGACACCTTCAGCACAATGTGATTGCGGGGGCCCCTGACAGACTATCCAACATATAGTGAGGGAATGCTCTAACAGAAAGTACCCAGGAGATTTTAGGGACTTCCTCTGCGTAACAACAACAGCTACTGACTGGATCTCCAAACTCGACATTACATTCTGAAATGTTATTTCTGTTTTCCTCTTAAGTTTTCTTACTGCTTTTTAAAAATTGTTTTAATTGTTTTAACCTGTAAAAATGAAGTGTTTTAATATTGTGTGTGACCAGCCATACGCTAAATAAATAAATAAATATAGGTTAACCTCTCTTTTACGGTGTTTATTGTGCAGACCAAAATTAAGGAAAACCTCTATCATCTATCTATTGTCTGTCTGTCTGTCTTTCTGTCTATCTGTTCTATCTATCTATCTATCTATCTATCTATCTATCTATCTATCTATCTATCTATCATCTATCATCTATCTATCTATCTATCTATCTATCTATCTATCTATCTATCTATCTATCTATATTTTATCTATCTATAAAAAGAACAATTTAATTTGATCTCTTGGTACCTGATAGCTAGTATTAATGAGACTCATAGGGAGTTAGAGGTTCAGAGTCAAGAAGTTGATCAGGGAATTCTGGAACTCCCAGGAGAATACTTTTATTGGAATTGTACACAATGGAGAGTCTAAAACAATTTCACATCATGACAAGCACACCTCACAAAACTGGCATGCCCTTGAAAAGAAGTCCACTCCGAAGCCAGCCACCTATAAATAAATCATCCACCTATCAAACATTTCTAAGCATAGGGCTTTAAATCCAGAAGGATAGAAAGTATTCTAGAGATCATTTTGGGCATTCTTATGTAAGTCTCCAAAACTCTTTTCTCCCCAGATAGTTCTTACTGAGAATGCAAAACCTACATGGGTCAGAATTTTATGCAGGTTGAAATACTTTCTCTTTTTCCTGTTTAATGCGTCAATATATAGTTTGTGAAACTCAACATTACTGGGCTGAGAGAAGGACTGACTAGCTTGCTTCATGCCTTAAGCAGGACTAGAATTCACGGTCTCATGATAATGATGATTGATGATGATGATGATGATCATCATCATCAATCATCATAATTTCAATTTTCCAAGAAAAGCTTTTCTGCAAAATTTTATCCAGTGCAAAATGTTCCATGAAGTTATTTCATACCAAGTAGTGATGACATTGCTCCTGAGAATGTTACATGTTCCTGAGAACGTTTCCAAGATTTTTCTTTTTGTCTTTTCCGTAGAGCAGTGGTCTCCAACCATAACAATTTTAAGATTTGAGGACTTAAACTGACAGAATTCCACAGCCAACATGGCTTGCTGAGAAATTCTGGGAGTTGAAATTCACAAGTCTTAAAAGTTGCCAAGCTTGGAGTCCCCTGTCCTAGAGTCAGACTGCCCAATTCATTCTGGATCACCTTTCTGGACCAAGATCAGATCATGATACCTCTAAATAAGCTGGAGAACTTTGAGAGGCTATCTGCACATGCTTCATGTACCTTCATCCCCCCCCTCCCCTGGGTTCAAGTACAGTCTCCAATGCTTGGAGGGAAACACTTGTAGGACTCTGATAGAGCCTTTTCTAATGAATGCATTTTACTAGCAAGTTTTTAATGACTTTGAGAAGTGACTCTTACCTTGTCCCGAATCCCTTGCCTCACAACCTCCCGTTCAGCCTCCATCTTGGCATATTTCGCTTTTCTTTCTTCTTCCTGCTGTCGGAGTGCTTCCTGTCGTTCTTCTTCTTTCTTGGCAGCATCGGGATCTTTCTCCTCCTCTCCTCCCAACATCTTTCCCATGTCTTTGGTAGCCCCTAAGGAAAAAGCAGAAGGCCAAGTTTGTGATGGTAGCTGTGCTGGTTTATTGTATTGTTCTTGGATTTGAACCTTTCATAGAAGGAAGGTAAACTGTTGGTTTGGAGTAGCATGTAAGCTCCAAAAAAACTATATAACTAAGAAAGGAAAAGCTGCCTCCTATTTTTCCACAACCTTGTGAACTGGGCTGGGATGAGAGAGAAGAACTGGCCCAAAGTCACCCAGTTGGCTTCCATGCCATAGGAAGGGCTAGAACTCAGTCTCCTGGTTTCTAGGCCAGCCACTGAACCACTACTGATTAACCAGGCCTTTTTGGGCTTACCGAGAGATGCAGCATCACCATAATTCAGAGAAATGTTACCAAATAAAAATCATAACTACTGGACACTGTGCATTACTTTTGTTGATTTGTTTTCACAATTTTGGCAACTACCCTAATCATTTGAACCTGGTGGTGCACAAATATTAAACATGGGATACTATTTCAAAGACCTGGGATGCTACCAAGAACGAGCACTTCTGAGGCCCCATTAGATGACACCATAAAGGACTAAAGCATGCCCACCAGTGGTGGGTTGCCCCTGATTCACACCGGTTCTATAGAACTGGTACTAAAACTGGCGGGAGGCTTTGCCCACTGACCCCAACATCATCAAAACGCTTCGCATGTGCGGCCCCGCTGCGAACCAGTAGTAAAGGTAAGTGGAACCCACCCCTGATGCCCACCCTATCTGAACTAGTGTAACTCAGCTGAACTGTGAGTAGCATTCAGAACTGCTAGTTTCTGCACCAGCTTCAGCTTCTGGGTGGTCTTTAAGGAAAGCCCCATATAGAGCACATTGCAATTCAATTTGCTGGTAGCATGGAAAGACATCTTAAATCAAACATTTTTATTTCCCCTAGACATCTTTGTTAGATAAATGAAGCCACAGCAGCTTGAGTTCTAGTTAGTTGATCCATAGTTAAAATTCCCCTGATTGTAATAAAGTACTTGGGGAAACTGAATTCAGGCATAGCATATCAGAAGGAAATATATGATTCTTGCTTCTTAAAGCTGATTTATAGGCTATTATTAAGACCCAACATAAACTTAGTCAGAATACATAGGAAGGTTTAGGCAAGGCTGAAATTTTGTTTCATTTTTAAAATTGAAGATACCATCCAGTGAAATTAAAGGCAGTGAGGTTGTTTGAGTCAGTTTAAGGATCCATTCAGCGTCATATTTTAGACATTAGTTCCACTTGCCCTATGGAACTACACAAATAGACATGATGGTAATTAGTTTTCATTGTCTGTTACAGACAGCATCTAACATTTGTAATAAACTAGAAACAAAGAGGCACTGGTTAGTCATGGTTACCCATTGTTGAAACACCATTCCTGTCAGGGTTCCAAGTAACACCCCCAACGAAATCAAACTCCAAGGCTTGAAGTTTCTCAAAGCTAACTTTTATTAGGGATGTCATATTGGCACATCTGGGAAAACCCGAATCTGAAACCTTCTGGGTTTTCCTCACCCAGAAGAAAGTTCAAGACCTTGCCCACATCTCCCACATGTCCACACAGCTCCAATCAGCATTTTCCCGAACGGAAGACATCCTCCAATTTCTTCTTTGCACAGCTGCTGGACACCATGGCCTTGAACTTCTCTTAGAGAAGTTTGTTATGACTAGCTCTACTTCACTCATGCAATCCCCCACTCCCAATTTCCCACAGTATGATTGTGGCAGGCCTGGATTCTCAAGGCACACAGGTAATAAGGCTTCCAGGCATGACAATTCCCTTCCTTCCTTCCTTCCTTCCTTTCTTCCTTCCTGCCTGCCTGCCAGCCTGCCTGCCTTCTTTCTTTTTCTTTTTGTTTGTGTATCTTTCTCTCTTTTTCTGTCTTTCTTATCTCTCTCTGTATCTCTCTCTCTCCTTAAGCTAATGTGCATCACTGTATCTATTTTATAGACATCTAGAAGTTAATTATTTCTCTAAAGCAGGCAGACTTATTTTTATTAAAGAAAATATCCTTGACATTTTAATAATCAAGTCATTACATGACAGGTTTTTTTTTTAAAAAAGAGAGAGGTGAGATTATTATAGTTGAACAACTTATTTTATCTGAACCCTAATTGAAGGTCAATAAAGCTTATTAAAAGAGTGAGTCAATCCAGAGTGGGATGGGGATGTTTACTGCTGTGTTTTCAAGGATGAATAATTATTCCCTCCTTTAAAAATCAGATTCCCCCCCCCCGTCTCCTACACAATTGTGTAGAAAGGTAACTGGGCAGGTAAGGAATAAGGATTAGGGGAAGACCTGTTTATTTACAAAGACAAGACCAGATCTTCCAAGGAGCATGATAAATGGTGCAAGCATAGATGGAGAGAGGTGGTGAATCTTGTTTCCTATTCCTCTGTCTTTAGAGATGACTCCCCCCCTCCCACTCACTACTGTCACACATTTAGCAATACTTGTGTCTGCTACTCAGCTTGCTCTCCAGCTGTGGAAAACCCTGGTGCTACTGAATGTTTTGTTCCAACAGAAGTCCATTTCTCCAAAATGGAGTACTGAGGGAGAGACAATTCTGGAAATGCTGGCAAATGTGGCCACCAAACAGTTTATTTTGGAGTCCAGGGTGTATCGTGTTGAGAAAATGCTGTCAAATGGAGAAGATAAAGACTTGAAACATATGCTTGAATGAACTGTGTCACCATCCTTTCCTCTGTCTCCTCCAAAGCAACAGTTCAGCCTTGTAGAACCCCAGGATAATGTCCAGATAGTAAATAGCAACAATTCAGGGTTATTATCTCTGTCTACTGACCATCTTTCATGTGTGACCATATTTATTCCATTGGAGAAGTCAGGTAACGTTTTCACCCAATTCAAGCAATATAAATTGAGCAGAATCTTTTAAAAAAGCATCCATAGTTAGAGATACAATTTGCATAGAAGATTGGGAGGCCACCATTTTGCTTTATGAAATGGAATAATATTCCCACAATCATTTAATTACCTGAGAGCTACGGTATTCTGTTTAAGACCTCTGACAGCCAAGTATTATTGAGATATGTGGGGATTGCTTGCAGAATACATACCCATCATTAGCTGTGACAACTGGAGATTACACAAATTGTAATATTAGTACATCAAAGATGCTAAGTTGGAAAAACATGCCAGGTAAATATTTGAGTTACATATTTTTAAAATATATCTGTAATTTTTATTGAGAATTTTTCCATGGATAAAGGACAAATATAGAGAAAAAGGGAAGGGAAGGGAGAGAATACAAGATGAAAGTACAAAAAGTGAAGGAAGGAAAGAAAATTAAAGAAACAAGAATCAGAAACTGTTGTGTTCTGGATATTTGGCTTTGAGTCCAGCTGTGAAGCAAACATTTGTTCCCGTCTTCCCATTTTTTCCCTTTATTCATGTTGGCATTATTTTTTTACTTGTTTTACTGTAAATAAACAATGAGTTTGCTATGATTTCACAGAGATCAAAACATGTCACAACAGATGTGTAGTTTAATTGATAGAAACAACTTTCATTGTAGCACATGCAATCTGTTTTTCAAATTGTTTTATTCTACTTTCAGAAATGCGTTTCTCTGGTTTCAGATACTTCTTTTCCTCCATAATATGTTTCAGAGGGATTTCTCTCTTTCTTTAAAACACACTTTGTTTATTTATTACAAATTTTGGGGAAAAAAACAAAGATGCAAAAAAAAAATACCCTAAAGACAAACAGACAGACAGACAGACAGACAGACTGTCTGTCTGTCTGTCTGTCTGTCTGTCTGTCTGTCTGTCTGTCTGTCTGTCTGTCTGTCTGTCTGTTTGTCTATCTATCTGCTATCTGCTATCAACAAGCAAGCTATAAACAAAACATAGTTAATAACATGTGAAGCCGCTGGGCGAGATCATCCGTGGTTTCGGGGTAAAGTACCACCAGTACGCTGATGACATTCAGCTGTACATCTCCATCCCGGATCACCCCAATGATGCCCTTGAAGTGATGTCCCGGTGCCTGGAGGCCGTGCGGATCTGGATGGGGAGAAACAGACTCAGACTCAACCCATCCAAGACCGAGTGGCTGTGGTTTCCGATGTCCCAATCTAGTCAGTTGGTGCCATCACTGACTATTCGGGGTGAGTCGTTGGCCCCCACAGATAGGGCTCGCAACTTGGATGTCCTCCTGGACTCATGGCTATCTTTAGAAGAGCATTTGACAGCTGTGGCTGGGAGGACTTTTTATCAGGTCCGCCTGATTCGCCAGTTGCGTCCCTTTCTGGATCAGGACTCGTTACATACGGTCACTCATGCCCTCGTCACCTCATGCCTGGACTACTGTAATGCTCTCTACATGGGGCTTCCTTTGAGGAGCACCCAGAGGCTCCAGCTGGTCCAGAATGCAGCTGCGCGGGGGTTATGGGAGCGAAGTGGTGCTCCCATGTGACTCCCCTCCTGCACGAGCTGCACTGGTGCCCGGTGGTCTTCCGGGTGCGCTTCAAGGTTTTGGTCACCACCTTTAGAGCGCTCCATGGCTTAGGACCAGGGTACTTATGAGACTGCCTTCTGCCACCAGTAGCGTCTCACCGACCAGTATACTCCCATAGAGAGGGGCTCCTCAGGGTGCCGTCGGCCAAACAGTGTCGACTGGCGGCCCCCAGGGGGAGAGCCTTCTCTGTGGGGGCACCTGCCATCTGGAATGAGCTCCCCCTGGAGATACGGAGGATCCCAGATTTACACACTTTCTGCCGTGCCCTCAAAACATTTTTATTCCAGCAGGCTGGTCTGGCTTGACTCTCTCTTTTAATTTGCTTTTAAGTTTTATACAAATTGGGTGTTTTTAAATTCATTTTTTGGGCCAACATTATTTAATATACTTTTAAATGGTTTTTAACTTTTGTATGATGTACTTTTATCTTGTGGCTGTTCACCGCCCTGAGTCCTTCGGGAATAGGGCGGTATATAAATAAAATAAAATAAATAAACAAATAAAATAGGAAAAGGG